GAGGGCTAGCGAAAAATGAGGAACATTAGTTAATTTTGATCAATAACTCATGCAGTAATATCTATGACTTTGATAATGAACCAACTCAGAAGTTGTGACAAGCTAATTAAAGGGATTAAAACTTAGAATTGAGTGAAAGGTGAGCATGGATTTGGAGGTGATCATACATTCAATGGCTTTGTAAAGGGAGGACTGGTTAGAGATGGAGTTAGTTTCCAAGAACATAGGGCTGAAGGGAAATTGTTTGAGGGAAAGGGTGGTAATGTCAGATGTGAAAGGAGAGGGCTGCTCCCGAGCCACTGACAATATTGACCAACACGTGGACCAAGAAGGGAACATTAGTGGTGAGAATAGGTACATGTGTCCTGGTGCTTCTGGCCTCTCCCATGCCTCCCTCATGACCAGAGCACAACCTGCCCTCCAAAGTTGTGAGTCCCAGTCACTGGGCCCTGATTTAACTCGTCCTGGGCCCTGTTGAATGCAATCTGATTTTGTCAACATTCCACAGCAATTTTTCATGACGTTGTTTGGTTTTAATTAAGCAAATTGTCACAAAGGAAATGTTCTGAACAGACGAAGAGTTCGAGTGCTAAAAAGCAGCTCATTCCAGAGTTGTCCATGTGTAGGCCTCTCTAAAAGCTCTGTAAACACAACTTCATTTTTTTTAAAAAAACACACTCCTCTGTAATTTTAAACAAAAGTCTCTTTTGTGTCTCTCTTCTACATGGATAGTTTTGTAGAAGAATAAAACCAAGCCATCAACATGTAGGCCTCTCCAAAATGTTTATTAACAGGACTCCCTTTGAAAAAAAACATGAGCTTTTTACTTTTTTTTACTTTTTGACAATAAAACAAACAAAAATGTTCCAAAATATAAATCTTATACTGCTGAAATGTAGTAAAGTAAGAAATCTAGAAATAAACCTGAATCTTCAACGTACACACTACTCTCAGTCCACCATTTCAGAATGAGCACTAGAGACCTGGTTCCTCTCCAGCAGCTGAAAGTACCTGGCAATATTTATTATGTGGAGGAGAAGACAAGGAGCATGAGAGGCAAAAACTCTAATTGGAGTTGATCTTGGAGAGAGTTATTTCCTTAAAACACACACTGGCACCATTGGGAGATGGCAACCAGGGTCCAAATCTTAGACCCTTCATATCTGAGTCATACCTTCCTTACCAAAATCTGTCAGCCTCCAATGTCAAAGGCCATCAATGTTAGGTCCTCACCATTGAGCCCTCTCCAGCCCTTAATCCTAGGACAGTGCTCTGTGCCTTTATAACCTCACAATCCTGGGACTTTCCTCCAATCTCACTTCACCTCACTTAATGTGTCAACTCCATTGATTGGTGCCCTAACCCTCACCCTAACCCTAACACCATAATAACTCCTGCACCTCATCCTGCATCAGGTGGAGAATGGTCATGTTGGGAAGAGCCTTTGGCCCTGTTGCTGTTTCTGTCATTATGTGTCTTCTTCCACTGCAAACAAAAAGCTACATTGTAAGGAATATGCCAAGGTCCAATTGCGTTTTCAATTGTGGTGATGATGCGTCCTCTGTCAGTGCGCCTCATTATTCAATGTTCCTTGCCAACGAACAGACGTTGCTGGTTAAATTCACCACCTCACTAAAAACCCATTTGTTGCTGGGTAGAGCGACACAGCTGCTTCATGCCACCTCTACACTTGGGCAAGGCTCTAGACAATGCCACATTTGTCCCACGCCAAAGTTCCTTCAAATGGGACCAAGCTCCAGTTAAGGTCCTGTCTTTTCTGTGTTGGATTTCCTGATTACATTGCTGACTGGGTGTGCCTCTCCCCCTTGGCTCGCTGCTGTGGGCAAGTTCCCCACAGGGCCCCCATGAATTACCACAAGACACTTGAGCAGCATCTTTATGCAGTAAAAGGGAGACCCACATTCTTCTGGGTCAGACCCCTGTTCAACCTTGTGGACTGCGAAATCCACTTCAGTGTTTCGGCAGCCAAAGTAATTTTATCAACCCTTTCTGAGGTTCACAATTGCTCAAGGACAATATTTGTCATTTTCACACATTAGAAACCTCTATCATGGCAGCTACACCAAAATATGCAAAATCAGAATAAGCATTTGAATCATCATTAAATATTAGTGGCTTTATATTGCTTGGGTCACCCAACATTGAGAAGTTAAGGTCGTATTTCTTCACATTTTTTATTTTTAAGTGTTTGCCCTGTGAAGATTCTGTACTTGCAGGCAGGTCATCTTGTAATGTTTCACTCCAGTACATCAGAGACAGCATTGCTCTCGTCTGAGAGCCCGACCGCTTCAACTGAACAGTTGAGCTTTGCAATTGCTCTGTCCCTCCTTCAGATGTAATCCCATCTTCTGTGAAGACCGAGCTGTTATGGGAGTAACGTACTCTGAGAAGAATTAGTGATTCAAAGTTAAGTTCAGAGGTTGGGGGGAGGGGGAGTGGAATTGGGAGAGCGGATTTGATGGGATTTTATGGATTTGCCTGCAGAAGTCATGTGAAGCAGTATGGATGCCTGGTTCACTGACTTCTTAACCGTCCTTGAGCTGCTCCACAACGTGAGTGAGGGAGGGAGGGAGGGTGGGGCAAGTGAGGCATTAGGCAGTCCCAGCACCCTTTAGCCTGTTCAGACACTTCACAGGTGAACTCATGAACCGTTACAGAGCTACTTTCATCTTGCTGTCTATAAATGCGTGGTGGAGTAAGGCAGAATGAACAGGGCAGGCTAAACATTTGAGCAGCTTGGATGTAAAAAGCAGAATGGAAGGGGATCTATGTCCTTGGGAGGCTTATTGCGGAGAATACCCATTCCAGTCCCACTCTGTGTCTCACACTCCCTTTGCTTCTCGAACACTCACTTCTACTGCCTAGGAGGAGGCTAAAGTCCCAGACTTCTCTATTTATGGAGCTCTGCCTTCAGCGTTGCTAGGCCCTGGTGTTGCTGGGACAGTTGAGCTGTGAGCCAATAGGATTGGTGTTCAATGGCAGGAAGAGACAGGAGTTCCACTCTAGGCTTATTAAAGCCCAGTCTTTTCCTCTGGTGGGGCAACCCTTTAGAGAGGCAGCAAGTTGAAAATGGACTTTTCCACCAGGATGGGTAAATGATATGATAGCCCTGCAAAACTCACCCCAATCCAGAATGTAATATATAGGAGCAGGATCTGAAGACCCAAGAGAAATGAAGAGCCAATGGAAGATGGACATAATTATGAAGTAATCCTCACAGGTCAACAAAGCTTATAGGCCCAAAGTAAAATCTCAATGATAGACTAATCACAGGAACACACACACATGGCAAGCCATGTGGAAGTTGTGGCCTTTTGCAAGCACCAAGGAAGTGTCCAGATTTCAAAACATTTTATAAAGCAGGTAGAACAAAAGGCTATTGGCAGAGTCAGTGCATGACAGCATCAGCTAATGCATCTATAAAGAGCTGCACACTGACCCAAACAGACTGTACACAAGGATTATTTCCAAGTTACAATAAAGACTATCTGGTACCCCATCCAGTGATGAAGTGATTGGTGGGCCAGAGTCTGACACTTGCATTTCTCAGCCAAGGCATAGACTGTTTGTATCAGTCGCATTGTGGGCCAGCTGTCCAGCTGTCCTTCAGCCCTTCACTACCAGCAAATGGAGTTTACCAAGAAAAGCTATGAGATCATATTGCAGTATTTCTGAATGAGGTCAAACTCAGAACTGTGCATTAGTAGAGAGAAATTGATCTAAATGGAGAAATCACAAAAATCTTGTGGGAAAATATATAAAATAATGAAAAAGTATAATGGAATGCTGCGATTTATTTCAAGTCTCACTGGAATACAAAAGAGCGGTTGTGTTATACATGCACAGTGCACCAACTGGAACTCATTTGAGCTATTGGACTTTGTAAAATGGTTATGTTTTAAACTGCCTCCCTTGATTCAAGCTAAAATGGAGTATCCTAGAGACAGAAATGGTACAAAATATGCACAGTAAGAGTCAAAGTGGTTTCATGCTAACTCACTCCAGAGACAAACACACTTGACCTGTTTGTTATGAAATAGACACTCAAATTAAAACTTATTCAAAGTCATGTGTTTGTTTTAATACCTGAACACAGGTATTAGGGTGTAGGTTAGTGTATGTTGTTATTACGTGAGAACTTTAAAAGTGCAGGAAAAATAAATTTTAGCTTTCAATTCTGTGAAGGACATCGGCATTTTGAGAACAAAGGTCAGAAAGTCATTTTGGGCAGAGGCCTGAAGACACATTTTCTGCTTTTCCAAGCTGCAGTTTTTCAAGCTGAGAAATGTCTTTGCACCATGTTACCTTTGCAAATTTCTCCATTGGCATGGTGTTTTATCACAGCATCAGGGACCTGGGTTCGATTCCATCTTCGGACAACTGACTATGTGGACTTTGCACATTCTCCCTGTGTCTGTGTAGGGATCGCTCTGTGTGCACTGGTTTCCTCTCACAGTCCTAAGATATGCAGGTTAAGTAGATTGGCAATGCTAAATTGCCCATAGTGTCTGGGGATGTGATGGTTAGGTGGATTAACCTTGGGAAATGTAGGTATGGATGAGTGGTGGGTCTGAGAGGGATGGTCTTCAGAGGAGAGGTGTGGAATTGATGGGCCAAATGGCCTACTTCCAACTGTAGAGATTCTGAAAAAGCATGTGACTTGATCCAGCTGCCTGAGGAGTTGGAGATAGTGGGAGCTGCTGATGCTAGAGTCTGAGATAACAAGGTGTAGAGCTGGAGGAACACAGTAGGCCAGGCAGCATCAGAGGAGCAGGAAAGTTGACGTTTTGGGTCTGGACCCTTCTTCAGAAAGGGTCCTTCTGAAAAAGGGTCCAGAGCTGAAACGTCAGCTTTCCTGCTCCTCTGATGCTGCCTGGCCTGCTGTGTTCTTCCAGCTCTGCACCTTGTTATCCCTGAGGAGTTGAATGTTTACAAAGTTGACTTTTATGACCTACGGTACATTTTGTTGCAATCTCCAGGCTGTAACAGTACAGCTTGTAGCAGTATCCAGACTGTGAACGTACAGTTTGAAGTGTTGCCTGGTTACTGCCCTCAACAACCGTTATTGGCAAGGCTCAAAGGGGACAAGAGTGAAATCTGTATTAACTAACCACTAACTGACTCACATACAATTCACACTATTTGGTTCAGAATAGGTGAACGCCTGGCACGCAATTCATGCAAAGCTAAAATCCAAAGGCACACCCAATGGTGTTCCAATAACGTTCTCTGAACAGTCAACAAAAATAAAGGCCAAAACCCAGGAACAGAAGTTCATACTGGCCAGACCATTTCTCCCAGGTCTTGCGGTTCTCTCCAAGCTTCCAAGCATGGGAGTGGTACACGACTTCGCGATGGTTGCTCTCCGGAGTTTTCGATGATGGCACATCAAAATCATTCATTTATTCCTTTTCCTTATCTTCCTGAACTGTGGTGTCTTGTCCTTGTTGGTTCTTAGCTCATCTGATGAGCTGGTGTCATTCCACTAAAGTTCACTCCAAAGACACCTTTAGGATTGACTCATTACTCTTTCCACCAAATATGGATTTCCCTTTGTTATCCTCGAACTGAATCAGCTCAAACTGGTTCGAGCCCGCAGCTAGGGTTTGGGTAACTTCAGTTCACAGTAACTGTCTTTACGTGTGAGCGACAACTAGCCAACAGTAGCAATCCCCGGGCTGTGAGACTTAGTTGAAATCTTTAGGCTGTCAGATTTAGAAATAGGCATTCAGGCCATCAGAGCTGGAAAGGAGACATAAGCTGCTTCAGCAGGGGAATGGCTGGGCACAGTAAGTGAAATAAAAATTAAAGAGTTACGATTTAATTACTGTAAAGGATATTGCTGGAGAAATGATTGAATCATTCTTTTTGGTGTTTATGATAAATTCTTTCTAAATTGTCTTATAAATACGTAGCTTTATCTTTTACACCTTTTGTATACTGAATTTGTGTTTATTATAATACACTTTATTAAAAACAAACTGAAAAACTAAAGTGTGATTATCAACCTAGGTGTCACTCTGAGTTCTGAATGACTATTAACATTAACTAGAATCATATTGACACAGAGAAAGAGAGGGTTGGTCTTGGTGGTGTCCAGGACCACATAATCTCAGAGTCAGTCAGGGAGAGTTCAGTGAAGAGGCCTCACCACAGGTGCAGTTTTGTGTAACAGGACAAAATAGTTCTCTCCTAGTTAATCACTAAGCAGAAGACTAATGAACACAAATTCCTGGTTCAAAGAAATACGCTTGTGAAACATGAAAGATCATGGATTCAGAGAAGGTACTTCGCTAGTGGAAGGACATTGGGTTATTTTCAAAGAGTTGAGTGAAGAGGACTTGGATCAATAGACACTGGCAGATTCACTCTGCTGTGGCAGAGAGAAGGAATCTGAAAGTTCTGAAGAATGATCCCGACCTGAAATGTCAACTTTCCTGCTCCTCTGATGCTGCCTGGCCTGCTGTGTTCCTCCAGCTCTACACTGTGTTGTCTCTGACTCCCGCATCTGCAGTTCTTGCTATCTCCTCTTCATGAATATTAGACTTTATTTGGATGTTTTTAAATTTTAAAAATGTTTTAAACTTGGAGGGTTTATATAAAACTGACCCCTGACTTGGTTAACTCCAGAAAATCCATCTGGCTTAGTTCTTTCATAATCAGCACATTATTGGTTAAATATCCACACTGAATAGGCAATACACTTCAAATCCAAAATATTGAGTACAATCAAACAAGCAGTGAATAGACTAGAACATTGAAGTGTACAGCAAAGGATTGGGTCCTTCGGCACGTGATGCCAAATTAAACTAATCTCTTCTGCCTGCCCTTGGTCCATATCCCTCCATTCTCTGCATATTCATGTGCTTATCTAAAAGTCTCTTAAATGCCCCTATTATATCAGCCTCCACCCCCTACTTTTCCAACCAGCTCATAATGCTGGAAAACAGGATTAGAATAATTGTTTGTTTTTGACTTGCACCAACTCAATAGGTAGGACATTGGTAGGACATGGCCATCTCTGGCTGGGCCAGAATTTATTGCTTGCCCTTCGTTGCTGCAAGGTGATGGTGAGCTGCCTCCTTGAACCACTGCAGTCCACAAGCTGTAGGTAGTCCCAATATACCATTACTGAGAGAATTCCAGAATTTTGACCCCGTGACATTGAAGAAATAGTGATTTATCTCCAAGCCAGGCTGGTGGCTGTCTTGGAGGCGAACTTGCAGGGCGTGGTGTACCCACTGCTGCTACTGAGTGTCTGAGCTGTGGATCTCTATGACTCTGTGACTGCCTTGATATGATCGCAAAAGGAAGATGCCGTGAAGCCCTATAGTTTTGTCGCCTTTCAACAATAGCAGGCCAAGATGTTACAACATGTCTGACAGGGGCGTTGTGCTTTTCAGAGGCTTGTCATGAATAAATGGTAAAATTCTAGTTTTGGTAAATGCTATATGATCCATGTTACTACACACAAGCAGCAAGTAATTGCTGGGCCATCGTTACCTCTTTTGGGTAGGCCTAGAACTGGGGACACAGCTTAAGAATAAGAGTTTTCCCTTTATGACTGAGAAGAGGAGATTTTCTTTTTGACATGGGTTGTTAGTCTGTGAATTGTAAATTCCTTGCAGTGTGGAAAGAGACCAGCTCAGTGTTTTGTTTTTGCCCAATAGTGTATCTCTGGCAAATTTGAACTGGGATATTTGAACTGCACAGTTTGAAGGGATTAATTTGAGGCTTTTAATTAGATGACCAACGAAATTGAATGAATCAAAATAATGTAAATTCCTTTTTAAAGCATACAATCCCACAAATGGAAAATGAACGGATAGATGTGTCAGCTGCCTTCGCTGATGGTCAGTGAACAATATTATCCAGAGCATCAGGAGGACTCTCTGTGCTTCAGATCACATGACAACTTCTCTCCCGACCAACAGTGTGTTTGCATGGAAGGTCTTTGTTCTATTCAAAACACAGAACCCTCACTAATGCAGCATCCAGTCAGTGCTGCACTAAAGCACAACTTTGATTATGTCTTCAAGACTGCTTTAGAGAACACTGTGGTCAAAAATTCAAGATCACACCACTTCAATTTATCCATTTTTTTTCACTTGCCAGGTTACTGAAGTCATCGCAAAGCTATTTGAGCGTAGCACTTTCTGTTATCCTTTAATCTGTGGTGATTTGTATCAGATGCATTTTTGTCTTTCACACATATCACTCTCAAAAGCATCTCCCACAATTTTATTTAGCTGGATTCAATCATTAACATTCTACCACATATCATTTAGAGGCATGAACGATATAGGAAGTACAGAGATATTGTGGTCTCTGAACTCAGAGATTGTTGATTTTGTTGATGATGACTTTGATCTGGAACCCCCAGTTTGGTAACAGTTCAACTGAAGCAGGAACACATCAACAGCCATTTTTAAGCAATAGTAAGGGGACAATTAAGTTATTAGTTATTTCGCTAGGTTACAGTAATATTGAAGGTGGCATGGTGGCTCAGTGGTTAGCACTGCAGCCTCACAGCACTAGGGACCCGGGTTCAATTCTACCCTCGGGCAACTGTCTGTGTGGAGTTTGCACATTCTCCCTTTGTCTGCGTGGGTTTCCTCTGGGTGCTCCAGTTTCCTCCCACAGTCCAAAGATGTGCAGGCTAGGTGGATTGGCCATGCTAAATTGCCTTGCAGTGTTCAGGGATGTGTAGATTAGGTGGGTTATAGGGGGATGGGTCTGGGGTGGGATGCTCTGAGTGTTGGTGTGGACTTGTTGGGCCGAAGGGCCTGTTTTCACATGGTAGGGAATCAATGAATACAGTTGATTCAATTATAAACCAAATGCTGCTGTTGATGTGTCAAGAAACATGCAGCTTCTCTAGAAAACAAATTGCTTGACAATGTGCAGGTGGTCCCCAATTTACAAACATCTGATTTAGAAATGAAATTGTTTGTGAATGAGATCCCATGTTAATGTTAACTTAAAGGATCTGGCTCATAATTTTTTATATCTATTTTATGCTGTACTGTACGTACGGTGGCTCAGTGGTTAGCACTGCTGCCTCACATCACCAGGGACCTGGGTTCGATTCCACCCTTGGGCAACTGTCAGTGTGGAGTTTGCACATTCTCCCCGTGTCTGCGTGGGTTTCCTCTGGGTGCTCCGGTTTCCTCCCACAGTCCAAAGGTGTATAAGTTAGGAGGATTAGCCATGCTAAATTATGCCGTAATGACCAGGGATGTGTAGGTTAGATGCGTTGGCCATAGGAAATATTGGGTGGGGAATGAGTCTGAATGTGTTGCCCTTTGGAGGTCGGTGTGGACTTGTTGGGCCATGTGACTTATTTCCACACTGCAGGGACTCTATGATTCTGACTTGTGTACAAGTTGACTTAGGGACATACTCAGGAATGGAGCACATTTGTAACAAGGAAATGCCTGTAACAGAGAATAGAACAGCTTTACTTCATGCAATGTATCATTTTCAGAAATATTTATGTTCCATCTGGTTCCATCTGGTGGTGGTCCACCAGATTGGCAGCTCAGGATCCAATTTCCTGCAGAGTCATCGTTACATTATTGAACATGACTGTTGACAGCTCCCTGTTGTAACGATAGCTTTGTTGGCTCTTGCTGGCCTGGAATTGGCTCATTCCCCTTAAGTCATCATGACGTGAAAGGGTGTGGACTGTTCAAATGAAGCAATGGAGGTTGCTCCATTGAAAAAGTAAAGCTCAGGATTTACATTCATAAATCATCTGCCACAATCTCAGGCTATCCCAAGCACTTTGCACCAAAGTAAATATGTTTGAAACACAAACAGAAATTGCTGGAGCAACTCAGTGAGTCAGGCTGCGTCTGTGGAGAGAAAGTCAATGTTCTGGGTCCAGTAACCCTTCTTCAGAACCCTAACTCCGTTAATTTGTGTGTTTCTTTCAGAATTCCAGCATCTACGGTTCTTTGTGTGCTTTTAAAAAGTAATTTTGAATGCAGTCATTTTTCTAACATCAAAAACACAATTTTTACCAGGCAGTAAGATAGCGAGCGACAAATTACTTTATAAACTTGCTGGCCAAATAATAAATGTTGGCCAAGGGCAGGATAATTGAAA